CAATGATCAGCTTTTATTTATTTATGCAAAAAAAAAACAAAACTGTTTGCTGGAGCATTAACTGGAGTTTGCCTTCAATTTTTTAGTGTATTTAAATCTGCTAATACATCTAACTCTCTCTTCTAATCTGAGCTGCAATATATTTAATTTTTTTGGTGTTGGGCTTAATACCACTTTAAGAAGTGCAAAGTGGTGCACATTCTCTTTAAAGCGGAGCTCCACTCAAAAGTGGAAGCTCCACTTTTCTGCCTCCTCCCCACCACCACTCACACATCTGGCACCTTTTTGGAGGAGGGGGGAGCAGGTACCTGCTGCCACTTCCAGCTGAGTTCGATGCGGTGAACTGAGCCAGAAGTTTGGCACCCCCCCACTTCCAATGTCCCAGAGAACTGCAGCCCATTCACAAAGCACAGGGGCAGTAGGAAACCGGTTGTGAACAAGCTTCACTGTCGGTTTCCCTTAGTCAAGATGGCAGCAGCAGCATCCAACAGCCGATTGAAGATGCTGGATGCCTGGACAAGTAAGTGCACTACTGTTAAAAGTCAGCAGCCACAGTATTTGTAGCTGCTTACGTTTAATTTTTTATTTTTTTTTGGGGGTGGCGGGGGCCAGGACTCTGCTTTAAGCTAGTTTAGGTTTTGATTAACATGCACCTCGCTAAAATGAAGCTATAACATTACTTAATCAGGGGATCATATATAGAAATCTAAGGAACATAATAACTACAAACAATCCAGTGGATATGTGGAATTCTGCATGTGAATGACTAGAAACCTTTTGGAATTTGCCTTCTAAAAAGTCATCATGCAAAGATTTTTTTTCTAAAGCCTCTCAAAAAAATTCTCTCCCATTCTTCCTTGGGCTTTTTCAACATTTTGTCCCATTTCTAACATTCAGGAATTATTTCAGGTTTTGCTACAGACGAAGAAGTGACTTGATACCTTTAGGAAATATAAATGTTTCTTTCTCTCTTCTTTTGTTTTTTTTTTTGTCTTGACAGGAGCCATCCATGTATACAGTATGGACTTGATTATCATGCAATAAGAACGTTGGATGTAGTCAGGGGATTGGGTGGAGGCCTCCACTAATGCCAACAGGTAATGCCAAGTTATGTTACCTTGGTGATCACTCCATCAGGTTATTTTCTTGGGAATGGAGCCTCATGTTTGTTAAGTCACAATCCCTTTCTTCAGATATAAATCAAGGAGTCATATGACTGCTTATTTACTGCTGGCACTAGGTGAAGTCCAACACGTGTCTTCTATTATTGGCTTTAGGTGTCATCTTTTGGAAGCCTGTATCAGATTCAGACACAGGGTTCTCATGAGATGTGCTAAAATAATACAATTTGTGTCACGGAGGGGATCTGGATTGGGAAAGTGTAGGTAGGAACAGCAGCCTGTCTGGTGAGGACAGTAAGGCTTCATACAAGGTTTCACTCCTTCAGTCAGGAGTGGGTTGGAGACCTGGGACCTCAGTACAGCCTATGTGCTGGATTTCCTAAGGGAAGTTTTGACTACCACCTGTGTTGCCAGAAGAGTTTTCCGGTAATTAGAGGAGTTATTGCTGCAAAATGGATAGAGGAGACATTAATGGATAATGTCCAGTGTTATATGTCCATAAGTCCCAAGTCTATGGCTAGTAACCGCTTCAGATGGCAGCCATCCCACAGTAAGCCAACTCTGTATGCAAAATGAAAAAAAAGAAGAGAGGCGCCCTCTGAGTGCAGTATGAAGGAAATATTTAATGAACCACAATCAAAAAACTTGCCTTGTGTCCTCCCTCCAGTTCACCACATCTCTTCCTGTGTGACGTCACGTCCTCCCAGCCTGTGGTTCACACTGGTCACAGGCACTTCTGGTTCTGGTTGGAAGATGAAGCCTGGGATTCCCTATCACTCCCAGCAGCCCGGGACCCTGTCACCATCCACTATGGGACCGTGAGATCCTCCACCATCTCTGGCAGCCCGGGACCCTGTCACCATCTAAAGCGGCCAGCACCCTACGGGATGGACTCCTGCAGGGCACAGAAATGGTTTTACTGATGGGCTTTTTAAACATCTTCACATTGTGAGTTTTATGATTGTGGTTCATTAAATATTTCCTTCATACTGCACTCAGAAGGCACCTCTCTTCTTCTTTTTCATATTGCTGCATAGTAAACTGCTATATTTAAAAGTTTAAGGAAGGTATGCATTGAATGATCTCACTTATATAAGTATATAAGTTACTTACAGTATTCTGAACTTGTGTCTGTTGTTAAATTTACCCTTCTGTTTCGAAGTGGAATTGCCAGAAGAGCTGTCCAGTAGTTAAAGGGGTTACTACTAAAGGCATGCTTCACGTGGTCACCTTTACACAAGAAGTGGTTTCTTATTCTGAGCTGTTAATTTACTGCTGGCAAAATTACCTTACTGTTTCAGACATGGAATTGACGAAGCTCAGAGTGTTACTGTATTTTTCAGTGTTTGGGTTAAAGGCTACCTTACAGAAATAGTTGTTTTGCCCTCTTCCCCTGATACCTTTGCAATGGGGATCAAGGTGTTCTCATTAGCATACCAGTTTCTTCCCAATGTTCTTTCTATAGCTCTGCCCAGCTCGCCATTCTCCCAGATGGAACTCTTGTTTCCAGGTTTCCACCTTTACTTACATCAGAGGACTCTGTCTAGGCCTCTAAGGCCTAAAGCACCCCACTGCAGGGCCCACAGAAGAAGATCAAGATAGGTTGACTACAGCTATTTCTTCCATGTTTTGTACCACCTAACCTGGGGCTTCAGCCCTGCAAAGGGCCGTTTAGAGCAATATTGTGGGCTGTTGTTTTGGGAAGGGGGATTTTAAGGCTTCCATTTTTTGTGGGGTATATTAGTTTTATTATATGTTGATAGGACATTTTTTAAGTTTTGGGGTGCTCAAAGCCTAGCATTCAATTGTTGCTGAACAAAATAAAGGATTATAGCTCCCTATCTCTCTTATCCTCCAAAAAAGTAAACAGAAAAGCATACTAATTCTCTGGCACACTGTACATAGTACAGTATTCTAGGTTGGTGAGAGCACAAGTGAGCTGTGATCCTTTGTTACACAAAAAGTGAATGCTGTGCCACTGCATTGTTTGAAAGAAAATAAAGTGCAAACACAATGTGCAACTAAACCAACTCACATTATTTCACTCACATTTACCACAACCTCCATGTCCCATAGTAAAAATAAAAGTTAGGCCTAATAACTGTGAATAGTACTCCTGCTGCTGGACAATCTCCTAATTCTTTAGTGAAAACACCTGCCTGTGATCTGTGTCTCTAGTATATTTGGGGCTTAGTCCTGCTCATTTAAACTATTCTGCCATTGACCAGATTAGCACTGTTGTATCATCTGTGGTCTTTTACTTTTTAATGAACTTTTGATAGAAATTTCCTTGTGACAGAGCAGTGTGAGAATGTGGACTGCCTTAATAAGCTGCTGGCTGATTTTGATCCACCAATCACAGCAGGTCTAGTAAAGCTAGATGAAAAAGCATGTCACTAATAAAACTACCTGAAAAAAGCCCTTTTTTTGCATTGGTACATGTCTTTCCTGGCAGTGTGATTTTTCCCATACATTTTTTTAATAGCTTACCTATTAGCTTTAAAATGGCCAGAATTTATTTACAGTAGTGTTTGGAGATGACACAAAGCTATGCAGTGGAATAACGTCCTTTCAGGATGTCTCCAACTTACAGGTCGACCTCAATGTATTATTTAGTTGGGCAACTAAGTGGCAAATGAGGTTTAATGTTGATAAATATAAAGTTATGCAGTTGGGAGCTGAAAACATGCATGAATCATATACGCTAGGAGAAGAACAGCTGGGAGAATCAATGGTGGAGAAGGGTCTGAGTGTTCTGGTAGACTTTTCCGCCACTTGGATCATGCTTAATTGTTTTTTTTTTTCTTGCCTTCCTCTCAATCAACTGTGCTTATAGGAGTGTGTATATGGGGGTTTTCTATATCATTTTTTTCTCTGCTGGTTGAACTAGATAGACTGGTGTCTTTTTTAACCTCACTATGTAACTATTCACCATTCATATACCCCAATGGGAACCAACAATAAGTTCAGGTTCTCCAAATTTCACACTTTGACAAATTAATCCCAGACAAATTTGCTCATCCATATGCAGGAAGCTACTTACCTCTACTGTCTGATTTTTTAAATGCCTGTAAATATATTGTGTGCACTAATTGTTTCTGGTTTATGGAATTCCTATGATCTAATGGTTAAACTGCTGCTACTGAGTGTATATCTAAATCCTTATGAAAGACAGAGTATCTCTGCCCTGTCCATGTTATTATATCAGATGCAGAGTGCCAGATCGCTATGTCTGTGCTACTGTATGTATGTAGTAGTAACCTTTCAGTATATTGGTAGGTGAAGAAAAGCAAAAAACAGGGCGCACTCTCTTCATGCATTACCGTGGCGAAACACAAGTTTATTTAAAAGCATAAAAGTGCATACTCACAAACCAAGGGGATTAAAACAGAGATAAAGAGTCAGTGGTGATGGTCCAAAGTAACGGTTAGAGCCTTAATGAAGTAGGCTAACTCGGTTCGGGAGACGTAATCCTTCTTCAGGGCTCTGGTTGGTTGTCCTCACATGGGAATCAAAGGAGAGTGTTGCTTAAGATGTTGTCACCACTTTGCTACCTTTCACCATAGTGGGAAATCAGTTGGGGTTCCAACATGGACTTTCTGGTAAATGGACTATTGTACTTTCTCAGCTATCTAAGGTATGGCAACCTCATGTGTCTCAAGGGAGCAACAGGGACATGCTAAAAGGGCACTTAGAGGACTTTGTATAACAATGTGTATGGAAAAAGATGCCGAGAACTGGTCATCTGTTATATTTAACCTCCATGGCGGTATTAACTTTCAGTACCCAAAGCGGTAACCCCCGAGCTATACTCGGAATTACCCTGCAGCATTGCTCTGGGATTTCCTGTTTCACTTACCTTGTCCTGCGCTCCCGCGATATCCCCTCTGCAGCGTCCCCAGCCATTTCCTCCGGCCGATGCCGGCATCCGTCTTCTGGGTTCCGGTCCCTGCGAGTGTTGGGACGTACAGGACGTATGGGGGCCGGAACCATAGGGAAATTTAAAGATTTTAAAAAGTGACATTTACTAAATACACTATAATCACATAGTAAAACATTACTGTATCAAACCATTTCACATACATTTTGCCCCTACTGCTTTGTCCTGTGCCCTGCCTGCATTTTTACTGTTCTTTCTGCCTTGAAACTGAGAAAAGTCCATGGCGTCCAAAAAGCATCCCTTTATGTCAAAAGCGGTTTTAGACCAGCTAGAGAACAGTGCAGAATTGAGTGACAATGATTCGTGGGGAAATTCATCATCAGGCACTGAAAAAAATTTTGCGACTAAGCTCAGTGATGTGCAAACTTGGCGCTATATTTCAAATTTCAGTGTTTTTGGTTTGATTATATTATTGAATAAATTATAATTTATGATTTCGTGTTTCAAATTTTATCATACCTGGGATGTTTACTAGACTCTTGTTTGGACAGATTTCAGTGAGTTATTCCTAAAAATTACAGGTCTACAATAAAGAAACAACATATTTCCATGCAAAAAAAGTACCGCTTTGAGCACAGAAATATTGACATAATCATACCGCTAGGGATGATTTTAAATCAATTTGCCCATTCCGAAGTCACCAAAGGGGTGCACATAAGGTGTATCAAAGAACAGGGTGTGGAAGGGGGATGAAGAGATGTCAGTGTGAACACATTACAAGGTTCTAACCTGCAGTAGAAGGAGAAGAGGCTACATTGTCTTTGGCAGGGGCAACAGGAGTTTTGTCAGGAGCTTAACCAGCCAACTGGCAGGAGTTGTAGTCACATGGCAGGGGTGATGGAGCGCACTGGTAGTGAGGGGGTTTGCAAGTTTGGCCCCCTCCCTGGCAACCAGTTCCCTACTTACAGGGACTGATATCTCAGCACAGAGTGCCTAGCCTGAGAGGTCTCGGAAGAGGGGAAGTGAGTGAGAGGGCCACAGGAATCAGTCTCAGGAACATGTGAAGACATGATCTCTATGTGTCAGGGAGAAGACTCATAGTGTCACTGGGAGTGAGGTGACATGAATAAGTGGGGTACAAGCTTCATGGTACCCCCTTGGAATTGCTGCATCCATTGGGAGAAGCTAAAGGAAGTGAAACATACACAAAAGATTAACTGTGCAAGAGGAACCCACTCGCTTCTAGGTTAGAGTGCTGGCTTAATGGTGATTTCACGTGACCACAGCCAAAGCCTGTAGTGCAGGCATTGGAGAGAGTTATACTGTGACTGTACTGGGGTCTGGAGAGTTAACCAAATGAGTGGAGTAAAGTGTGCTTTCTTCTAAGTTGGAGCACTGCCTTTACAATGATTTCACCTGTTGACAGCCTCTACCTGTAGTGCAGGCATTAGCAAGCACTACTAGTGAGTCCCGAATTGGGCACAATAAGCTCCGCCCACACCATTGCCACTTCAGGATCATCAGCTTAGAGGTCTGGTTACATGTCAGATTAGAAACTATTAAGGAGGAACTAATGGACGGAATTGATAGGCTGACTCTGAGTTCCAGGGCCACATCACAGTTCCTGCAGGTGAGAAGCTCTGTTCCTGGCTTGATGGACAACAGTTGGAATATCTCCCCATGACTGCAGATCTTGCCTTCTGGTCTCCGAGACAAAGAAACAAAGTTGCATCATCCTCAGGGCCCCTACAACTGAACTTTGCTGCAACATTCATCTGGCTGTATCTCTATCAACAACTATATATACCTGGGTATATATCCACAATTCCACCAGGACTCCTATAAGGCCTTTTGCTGATAATACCTGTTTGTACATTGGATGTACGTCCTGTTATTAATCTCTTCTTATTTTAAGTTTGTATTATTTCTATACTGGTGTCTATCTATATACTTATGGTTAATGTTATATCCTGGTTGCTGTAGTTTCTCTGCTCCTAATTACTGGATAGATTACTGGTTAATTACCACGGAAATCCCTTCTATTCACAGAGGTCCTGTCCTGGGTGGAGGCACTGACAACTTTATTATCAAACCCATTATTCCACTTAGCGAAGGTTCAGGTACTCTTATGTACCTACAGGTTTACTGCCAAATCCTGTTTGGGGAGGGCCATTTCTCATAAGCCCCCCTTCCCCACCCCAAAAAGAAGGCTACACCTATTCACAACTACATGTACACCATCAGCAACTATTCTTCAATAGGAAAATGTGACCCAAATTTAACAAAATAATTATTACAATACCTGCTCATTCACCAGACTTTCCCCAAACATTTTTTAGAAAACATTTGCCAGGCTGAGTTGTCAAATCACTTTATAAATAAAATGCAATTGTTGCCTATGGAGAGCGAGAGTATGCCACTGAGCAGTTTATAAATATTCCCCTTGGCCCGTTTTGTTAAATTAGTCCTTGTGGTGTAGCATGTTTCCAATCTATTAATTAAACTAATGTGACTAATTATTCTGCATGTGTTTCTGGAGGGGTAACATTTAAGATCTAAAACCCTTTCATGCTACTTAAAATTCAAAGTAGCCATCTAAAAGTAAATCTGCTTTTGAGCAGAGTACAAATTTATATATACCGATAAACAGGGCTTTTTTTTCTTGGGGAATAGCTGTAGGTACTCCCTGCTTCTGAGTTACCCCTTGTTTTCCGCCCCCTATACACCTCTGAGCATCACCCCTTGGTTCAACCACCTCTCAGTACGGCCCTTTTAGAGAATACATAACCAAGTTTCATTCTGTGCATTGGTATGGAATTTGTTGTTGACAACAAAAAAGTAATAAAATAGATCCCCTGCATCCGGCAACAGTAGACCCCCTGGCAACAAAATACCCCCCCCCCCCCCCCCCTCCAGTAACCATCTAAAAGTAAATTTGCTTTTGAGCAGTGATCAAATTTATTTTTATATATATATATATATATATATATATATATATATATATATATATATATATATGATATATGATAAGCAGGGATTTTTTTCTTGGGGAATGAGTACAGGTACTCCCTGCTTCTGAGTCACCCCTTGTTTCTGCCCCCTACCCACCTCTGAACATCACCCCTTGGTTTCACCACCTCTTAGTAAGGCTCTTTTAAAGAATACATGACCAAGTATCATTCTGTGTATTTGTATGTAATTTGATGTTGACAGCAAGAAAAGTAATAAACTAGATCCCCTGCAGCCAGCAACAGCAGCAAAATATCCCCCCAAGTAACATTAGATCCAACCCAGCAACAATATATCTCTCAGCAGCCAGCAACAATAGACCCCTCACTTAACAATAGATCCCTCGCCACAACAAATGACTCCCCCAGCAACAATAGATCCCCCACAAGCAACAATAGAGATTCACACTACAATAGACCCCTCACTTAACAATAGATCCCTCCCTGCATCAAATGACCCCCCCCCCAGCAACAATAGATCCCTCACAAGCAACAATAGAGATTCACACTACAATAGGTCCCCCAGCAGCCAGCAACTATACAAACCCTCCAGAATACCCCATCACTCCTTGCCATTACATATATTCAATGCTGGAGGTGCTGGAGATGCCGGAACTGCATTCCCCCTGTGTTCCCGCTGAAAAAAAGGAATGCTGATAAAGAAGAATAGTATTTAGTACCTAAAAAGCAATAGTATTTAGTACCTGAAAAGCACATTAGAATTCTTGAACTGTATCTGGGTATTAGGGCCAATGAGGAGTAAAAAAAACATTGAAAGAGGTCATGACAGGCTCAACCACATCCAACACAATAGCTCTGCACATATATATTTTCCAAAATGCTTCAGTCTCAAAAACAGCAAAATCATGGGTTCTACTGCCCTCTTGTGTTCAGAATGTAGAAAGGCTTGTCTGTTATAGATCACACTTGATCTCTGAGAGATCCTTTGAAATTTTAGAGCAGAAGCATAGTATGGGATTTGACCATAGCAGTCGATGAAATCCCAGAAGACTTTCGCAGTAAATGAAAGCTGACATGCTAGTCCATACATACAACACACCTCATCTTCCTCAAAAGAACTAACATACTGTACATGTTTTAGCAATGTGTTCATACACATTTTGAGGTTTTTTTAAACAAAATGTACCCAAAAGTATTTTTTGTGATTTTCATAGGTGATCCTTCACACTACATAAGTGTTGGCACACCTAAAAACAGATTGTATTGTGTGTGACCACCTTAATACAAAAGGTCTAATGGCGTTTTGTCCCTCATTTGGAGGAACTGACCCTCTTTTGAGAACTATCTCTTTTTGTAGGTAAAAAAAATGTGCATTTATTATTTTTTACTGTACAACCTGTAAGGCATTGCACAAGCGTTCAGTAGATGGCGGATGCAATGCAAGGATCCTGCAGACACTCAGTATAGTTGTCTGCCAGTACCTTGAATGGCAGGAAGGATCAATTAACCAGTTGCCCGCCGCCCTGTAGCAGAAATACTGCTATAGGGTGGCAGGGCTGCACAAACTCACATATATATAGGTGATTTGCATTTCCAGGTAGAGTGCACGCGCTCACGCACCACCCTACCCGCGGGCCGCCATTGGCGCCTACAGATGTCAATCACCGGGTCCCGGCCGGAGATTCTCCACTGGCACCCGGCGATCACTGTGTAACACTGACAGGGGAGAGATCTGTGTGTAAACAACACAGGTCTCTCTCCTGCCAGCAATAACATGCTGCTGTGTATTTCTCTGCACAGCAGAGAAATACACAGCAGCATGTTTCCCAAGTAAAACACATACACAGCACATGTTGTAAAACGCAATGCAGCACACAGTTAACCTTTGATTGCCCCAGATGTTAACCCCTTCCTGCCCAGTGTCATTAGTGCAGTGTCAGTGCTTTTTATTAGCTCTGATCACTGTATTAGTGTCACTGGGGATGTCAGTGTCAGAATGCCCGCCACAGTCCCGCTATAAGTTGCTGATCGCCACCATTACTAGTATTAAAAAAAAAATTCCAATATATATATACCCACATGGATTTTTTTTAACATAAAAAAGTCATTTTAACATATATTTTTACATATATTTGTAAATGCATTCCAAAAATGTAGATTTGAAATGTATTTTTAAAAATATTTTTCATATATTTTGGAATAAAAACGCATTTCAACATACTGTATATATATATATATATATATATATATATATATATATGTGTATATTTATTGAAATATATTGAATACAGACAAAATTGTAGTATTTCAAATATATGTCAATATATTTGGGAAGAATATTTTTAAAATATATTTCAAATATATTTTTCTTCCATATGGGT